TGCGTCCAAATAAATCGCTTTTGTTGTGAAGCATATGAATAAAGCAATGTAACCCTTTATTAGTTTGGGATTTCTAGTACATCTGTCTTTCAAAAAGAGCGGTCCAGCATAGTCCACTCCAACTGTATGAAAGGGTGGGTTTGAAATTACTCTACTAGTCGGCAATTGGCCCATCTGTGGTATCACTGAAATTGGTGTGTTTTTAAAACATATGATGCATTCCTTACAAATTTTCTTACACATGATTTTGCCTTTCAATGGCCAAAACAATTCTCTGATAGATGATAAAAGTGTATAGGGCCACAGTAAAGCTGTTTGATATGCTCATGACGTAATATTAATATTGTTAGATGATCGTCTGCCGGTAATATGATTGGGTGTTTTTTCAGTTCTGTATGTTTAGAGTTAATAAGCCTACCACCCACACGTAAAATATTTTCATTGTCTAAATGGGGATTCAATGGTAACAGTTTGCTACTGTTTGGCATGATTTTTTTATCAGTAAGCTGATGAGAAGTGTTTGATTTGTACTAACCGAACTAAAGCATTTAAAGCTCTTTGTACTTCTTTTGCACATAATGGACCTGTTAAACGATTTTGTTTTAAACTGTCCGCATTATCCCGAAATCTAAAACAGTAAGCCACGACTTTGGTTCCAACACCTGGTACGTCTCGTTCCAAGAATGTTGTGATCGACACCAACTCGTTTGGAGATTCTGCCAGTCAACGTTATGGTACACCAAAGTTAATCATATATAATTATAAATATGCTAACCTAACATTTCATAGGTCATCTCATAACGCCAAATAAGAAGAAAAATTGGTATACATCCAGAAGTAGGGCAGTGGAAACGGAACTAGACATCCGCATTAAACGACTTCAGCAACTTATGCAAGAAAAATTATTACCGTCATTTGAAATGACAGTAATAATTTTAATCCTGTGTTCAACTTCAAATTCATGTGATATTTTTTAGCATAGCCTGATGATGGGTGGTTAACCCGAAATCGATTGCTTTATAGAAACAATAAAACATTTGTGGTTCCTTTTAATATTTTAAAGAATCTCAACGAACCAAAAAATGGAGAATTTCATTACATATGTGAAGGTTATACCTTATACCATATGTGTTATCATAAGTGTTATATTACGGTTATACTTAAGTTATAGCAGGATACAGCCCAAGGACGTTAAGGCTCCTCTGTAGTCAATCCGCCATATTGGAAAAATAGCTAAATTTTCTTATGAAATGCTGCTTTTGTAGTTGCAGTCTAACAAATTCTCGATAGTGGATATTCTTTGCAATGATGAAAAGAACGGCGGTACTTAAAAAAAGTTGAAATATCGGTCTTAAGTTTTTTAGGAAGATCGATGAATAGAAAAATTGTTTTTCGTAAATAACAGCCGTTGTAATGGGAGTAGAAAAACCTACAGCACCAATTTGGAAATCCGACAGTATTTCCTACGGCGGTACTTAAAGATATTATTTCCACCTATTATGATAACGCATATATTTTAAAAAATATGTGTCACGATCTTTAGAAAAAAATCAAAACGCTAACGTAAGGATAGGCAACTCATATTGCACTATAACTTCTGAGGCGAGAACTCATTACTTGAAAGGGAAAACAAAAGAAACTACCTGGCATTATCCTGCACATTGTTACACCGTTCCTAATGATATGGATTAGATAAATTACTATATAATTAGCTAATGTTCATGAATGCTGTTGATTTGTGAATCATACTGTCGCATATTCCCAAGACGAAAAGTGTACTAAATGCATATTTATTGTAGGTACATTGGAAATAATTTTTGATTTCTAAAACCTTTTTCATTCTATCAGGATGCTTCAAGAAATTTGTTTAGGAAGGTGTCAAATAGTAGCTCAATTTTTAGCTAAACACCTAGGGGAATACGACTGTACCAGTAATTAGAAACATTTTTGCCGTAAATTTGTTCTTGTGTAGAAATGTGGCACCGTTTTGATTTTTTGGACTAACGCATGACCACCACACAAGCGGGTAGCACAGTATCACAATTCGCAAACACTACTACTGAGTCGAGACTTAGAGAGACAAGTGCTACTTATTTTTTCAATATGATCAGATATCAGGAATATCCGCTTATCAAAAAAATAAAGGCGCGACAAATTTCGATTTTTACAAATAAATTGGCGAGAAAGTTGCGCCCAATAGTTTTCACATTCTGAACCTACCATTTCAAAGAAATTCGATTACACTTGTTCATTTTAACTGTTACAAAAAATGTTCCAATTCCCTTTTTTAGCTAAAGTTCTAAACGGGATACGATAACTAATAGGCGACACTGACAAATTTATTTAAAAAAAGTGTTAATAAAGAGATTTATTTTAGGTGTTCGAAGTGCCGGTTTATTAGGCTCTACCATACCTAAGTCCTAAGTGAATTCATTCATGCACATGTCTATCTAATAACTATAAAAATCTATAAATCAGTCAAATTGATTAGAAAAACTCACAGGAAATAAAGGGGTAATTAAAAATGTTAACAAACAATGCTAATCTAGTCCACTAATGACCTAAGAACCAGGTAATTTACGCAATAGTAAAAGAAATAGGCATTTGTGCATCTCCATTCAAATCTTGTACAGCTTTTCGCTAAACTTGTTTACATAATATTAGTCCTTGACCATTATACGTGGTCTATTGTGTTTAACAATAAATGAAGAGAATATGCAAAACTGGAAAGGATAGAGATACATCGTTGCTCTCACTCAAGGAGTAGGTACATCGTCTAGAGATGTGTATTGTTGGTGGTCTAACCAATTGCAATAACATTGAAATACAAATTGACTACAGAGGAGCCTTAATTCACTGTACAATGTGAGGGCTTCCCAATTTAAACTGTGGATTGCTGCGTATATACGGCGTATACCTCCGTATTTTTAACAAAAGGGCATGGTATACGCTTCTAGGAAAAAAAGAGCAAAGTATACGCCGTATACCTTCGTATATCCCGGATGACAACCGCCCATAGGGCCCCTATGATGTGGATGATATTGATGAACTAGTATGCGAATTCAAAAATTTAAGACACGAAGAGGAAGTCAACATTTTTTATGTCAACTACAAACACACACTAAATGTGGAAGAATTTTGGTATAATATTGGTGGCGTTCGAGATTCTGAAGGACAAATGAAATATGCTAAACTAATCAATGTTGTAATTGTGTATTTTTGGAATATTTCATTGCTAAAAGGAAGTATATGCGTAAAAGTAAATAATGCAATACAGTAATTTAGTCATGTGCTAAATAGTATATTAAGTATGGAGAACGGTAAGGGATTTTTACCGTTCGAAGACAATTATTGTCTGAGAACGGTAACCCTTAACGTTCGACGTGCTTATAACATTTTTTGCGCGATCGAAATTAAAATTATCCAACCAATATAACCATGCACTAAGAAATTAACGAGCAGAATAAATCGAAATGATCGAAGTGGTATGGTGTACATCACTAGGCAACCAGTTTAAATGTCAAAATTGAAATTAATAATTTCATAAAAATGTGCATGTGTCTGATGTAGTTTACTAGCTTTGCACTACCTTTATGACTTTATGAGCGTCTTGCTATAGGAAACAACAGCACAAATTGTACGATTAATGTACCTAACAATAATTAAAGATTGAATGTAATGTAAGATTATTGATTTTTAAAAAGGCGTCGGTAAGTATTTTTGCTGTTCTGTTTTTAGATCGGTAAGTAATTTTGGCGTCGTCGTAATCATAGCAACTGGTAAATTCTACGTACTGTCATGGAAACACCCATGGTAAATAGTCAGAAATGACCGATCGCGCAAAAAAAATTATAAACATGTTGCCTTCTAGATACCAGGTTTTGGGGATATAAACTATTCGCAGTGACTGCTACCCCGTGCCCACGGAACTATAGTCCTCCAACTCTCGTTCCGTGCGCACGGAACAGCAGTTGATATATTAACTCCCCGTGCTGTTAATCTGAGTTATGTGATTAAATACGAAGTTTCGCATATTGGGCACTCTAATTATTTTTTCATAAGATACGTATAAAATTAACTTTACATCAAATTAACATTATTTATTGAGAATACATTATTATTATAAGAAACTTTACAGAGTTAAACCAAATCGAAATAAATAAAAAATGAAAAATAAAATTCAGTTGTTGGATGGACCTGATGCTTTACGCCTTTTTCTTTTTGTACCAATGACTGTTAACTCTGAACCCTTCGGTCTTCCACATTTAACCATTTTTGGAGGTATTTGTATTTCACGTAACACTGGAATAAACAATCTTAAAAAAATACAATATAGTAATAATTGTGTTTACCATATTTCTTGCTAGTTCCTATATTATCATGTTTGTTGCTGATGTTCGATTCTAAAATTTTTCCCACTCCATCTGAAATTTCTAGATTTTTTGATATCGTTTCTTCTGCTACTATTTCTGCTTCCCCTTTGCTGTCATTTTTCTGGAATACATAGTACTCGTAGTTGCGTTTATTACCATCCAAAACACTTCCTGTTACTGGTAGCATTTCTCTTTCTATCAATTCTACTTGTTTTGCGAGTTGTAAATCTTCTGGTTCTGATATAATCTCTGCTTCTAATATTTCTGCTTCATGTCTTAGTACTTCCGAGTCAATTTCTTGAGATGGACAGTTGTGCGTATTATCACCCAATAAACTAATTGGTATTTCTTCTTCTGTTAATACAGTACCTGACGTTTCTGATTCTCCTGGCAGTTCTAAATCTAATGATATATCTGCCGCCTCTGTTAATATTTTGGAGTTAGTTCCGTGTAATTCGTAGTGGTTATCGTCCAAAACACATATTTCCGTATTATTTGATGAATTGTGATCATTACTTTTCTCATCAATCACTTCAACAATTAAAACTTTTTTCTTGCTTTGATAAAAAGACTTTAACAGTTTCATTTGATCCATAATTTCTCGGTATCTTTTATTCCCATATTGTGATATAGTAACAGCTAAGGAATTGCATAATTTGGAAGCCTCTCTAAATTTCTGGTGCTGATTTAAAACTGGCTTGCTTATGGTATGTTCAGTTAGTAGTTCATGGTTTGAATCATAAATGGGTAGGTCTTTCATAGTTGCTCGATGGTTTTCAAGGTAATACTTCACAAGCCATCTTTCATTTACCAACAATTCATCATATAATTCAGCATTGGAATGTCTTCTAACTGCTAAAATATGACGACAAGGTAACTTCATTTGGTTTCGAAAGCGACAAGAACAGTTGTCAACTGTAACACTTATTAATCCTTCTCTGTCTGAGTTGTAACTAAAAGTTTGATCATTTTCCTTCTTTATTTTTATAATTGTTGTAGGCAAAGATTTAAACTGCTTTTCAAGATGCGACCACGCAAATGCTGTTATCAATTTCATATATCGGTATTCGGTGGAAGAAGTTTGATAGTGAGTAACGGGGGTTTTGTACAGCAAAAGTTGGGCACTATGATCCCGGTCTATTCTCAAGGACTGTAACACTGTTTTGAAATCGGTATAAAATTGGCATAATGAACTATGTCTGTCAACACCCGATTTAATTTTTTGATTGATGCTCTCCAAACGATTCGTAGTGCTATTATTTAGAGTAAAACATGAACTCTTTAAACCTTCTACCCATTCATTTTTTATGTTATGCCAGTTTTCATCATAATACTTTAAAACATTTTTAACATCAAGTTTCTGTAATTCCTCGTAGTTAATATTATATTCTTTAAGAGTTGCCGAGTAAGCTATTTTTTGTATTACTTGAAGACACTTTTCTCTCGTTTCTTTTTTTATGGCCATCCTTTCAATAGTAATCTCCCTTCTAAATGTCCGAAGTGTATGAAAAAGACAAAGTAAAACGTCTGCGTGTGGAAATTCGTTCTTAAAAATATTTCTCTCTGTCATGTCTTTATCGGTTAATATTGTCACTGTCTTAACCCATGCCTCATTCTTGTTTTTTTTTTTTTTTTTATTAAAGCATCCAGCCTAATTGGCCATACAGCTTTCTATAATTATTACATGATTCCTAGGTACTAAACAATCGATTTAGTTTTTTAAATTTGAGTTTTAACATTATTAATTGTATTACATTTTAAGATCACAACTTATAATAAATTTCAAAATTAATGCCATAATTGGTATGTTTGGTTTGCCTATAAATGAATTTATGTGGAGGGGGAAGGTGATTTTTTTATCATGTGCACTTAGAAGTTTAAAAAGTTCTTTTCTTTGTTCATCAAATCTAGGACATTGCCACAAGACATGATCCAGGTCCTCTTCCATATAGCCACACTCACACTGAGGACTATTCACAATTTTAATTTTAAAAAGAGATTTTTTAAGGTTATAATGGCCACATCGGCATCGATTTATGAAAGTGATTAATTTTCTAGAAATATTGAGGCCGTTAAACCATGGCACCTCCCTCCTTGTATGACACAGCTCAAAATACGATACCCCCTTAATTTTGCCTAAGTTTTCTATGTAATGAAAGTATTCCGCCATTATATTTTTCCTAATTGCTGCACTATGATCTAATGGTGGTATTCTCTTTATGTTGTTATCTATGTAAGTAGCATTTTTAGCAAGCTTATCTACTGCTTCATTTCCATTAATACCCATATGGGAGGGTACCCAGTAGAAAAACACATCAGAGTTGCTCGTGTTTCCAGTTTTGAAAGAGTAAACTAATTTTTTAATTTCTAATATATAAGGACTAGATTTTAACGATAAACTAGGTTTGTTGAGAGTTTTTAAAATACTAAGCGAATCCGTTATGATAGAAATATTACTAGTTTTGTGTTTTAAGGCCGTTTTTAATGCTTCTATTATTGCAATGCATTCCGCTGAAAAAATAGACGCGGTTTTAATAACGCTTTTAGTACCAGATGCTTGAATACGAGGAGCTAGAAATGCAGCGCCAACTGAGATTCCATCTTCTGTTTTACTACCATCCGTGTAAAAATAAATGTGATTTTGTTTGTCACTAATTAAACTGTCAAAAGCCGAGTTAATTTTCTGAACGTTGTCAATTAAATTTAACATTTTGCCTTCTTGTAAATGAATATTGAGTTGATCAAACAAAACGGGGTAATCGACTCCGTAGATGGAAAAGGTATTAGCTACCAGTATCTGCGATTCTAAAGGAAGGATGTCCTTAATACATTTACTAATAAAGCGCTGTTTAACTCTTCTATCGGTAACGGAACCAACAAAAAATTTTTTTATGACTTTATTAACTATCATGCTAGAATTAGAAAGGACTTTTAGCAGATACCGAGAACAGAGTAATTTGGTACGGGTCGCAAATGTTGGCAACTTAGCCTCTGCAAGTAGGACGTTAGTTGGTGTGCTACCCCTATATCCTAATGCCAACCTAATGGCTGCGTATTGCAACCGTTCTAGCTTCTCAATCATATTTTGATTTTTAGGAAAATAAACAAATGAACCATAATCTATTTTAGAACGTACATAGGACTTATAGAGGGTGATCAATGTCTGGGGAGAACATCCCCATTGGATGCCTCGTGTAAATCTGAGCAAGTTGAGCCTGCGATTAGCACATAATATAATATCTTTAATATGCTGGTGGAAGTTTAGATGTGTATCAAAAATGATACCGAGGAATTTGGCTGTATCCGACTCAATTATCTCTTGTCCATTCAGTTTAATTCGGCGTTTGGCTGTGTCCCGAGACCTCCCTCTTATTCGTAGGAAAACTGTTTTTTTAGGAGAAAGAGAAAGACCGATAAGATTCATGTTTTCATTGATAGTGTTAACCGATTGTTCGAGAATTCTCAAACCTTCATTTACATTTTTTGCACGAATGTATACCGCTATGTCATCCGCAAATTGTAGTATTTTAACATTGCTGGAAATGTTATGTTCAATTTCTGCAACATAAGAATTGTATAACAATGTGCTCAGAACTCCTCCCTGTGGAACACCTTTATAGGTTGTTTTAGGACCGTCAACAGAAGAAGAAGAGTAAATATATCTTTCATATGTCATGAACTGTATAAATTTCAGGGGTTTGCTTGGGCAGCCCATAGCTGACAGTTTTTCTACTAAGATGTCAGGAAGGACATCGTTAAACGCGCCCGACACATCTAAGAAAGCAACTAGTAGCTGTTCATGTGATCTAATCGCATCGTCTGCCTCTAGAGTCAATGTGGTCAAATTATCGGCACAAGATCGCCCCTTTCTGAATCCTGACTGAGAAGCGGGGAAAAGATTATTGTGCTCCAGCCACCAGCGAAGCCTATACGACAGCATGAGCTCAAACAGCTTGGAGCAGCAAGAAGTCAAAGCAAGTGGCCTTACACCATTCCCACACGGTTTACTAACAAAATGAATATAGATGTTTTTCCACGCTGATGGGTAGGAGTCGGTGCTATACATGTCGTTGAAGATGTCTAGCAATGTATGATGGTATGCTTTTGGGATGTTGTGGAGGACTTCATAGTTAACACCGTCAAGACCTGGTGCCGATTTATCCCCTCTGGAGGAGAGGGCAGTTTGAAATTCCTCAAAGGTAAAGCTTTTGTTAAAGAGATTCTCGTGTTCGGAGACCGTGTGTGGTAACTCCACAGGGTTGGTTCCGACCCAGGGTGGGGCAAGTTTATGAAGCATGACATCAATTTCTTTGTCGTCTTGCAGATTTTTTTCTTTATTAAGATTTTCAGTAGAGACCCACTTGTTTTTCAAAATTTTGACTTTTTTCCAAGCATAATTTACATCTGTAAGAATATTAATAGATTGAGTAAACTTAGCGAAGCAATCTCTTTTTTTTAATTTAAAAGTTCGTTTTGTTAATGCCAGTTGTTTTTTATAAAGGATAAAATCGTACAGATCATTAGTGCGCTGCCATCTTTTAAAAGCAACGATTCTTAGTCTTCTGGCTTTATCACACTCCGAGTCCCACCAATACACAGGATTGCGATGTTTACAATGAATAGGATTCTTTCGTACTGGAGTATGACTTTTAACAACCCTAGTTATCAGTTCTAAGAAAAACTCGTATTTGTCTGTGGGACTGAGAGTGAGAAAGGTTTCTTGTGCTAGTCGCACGTAGTCGTTTTTTAGTTGATCGCATACGTTGCTCCAGTCGGTCTTATTCGACTGAATCTTAAATGTTCGTTTATCGTACCTCAGTTTATTTATTGTATAATCAATATGTAAAGGAAAATGGTCTGAACCCATCGGATCCGTATCTACACGGTGAGTAATATTTTGAGCTACATCAACAGTAGAGAAAAGCAGATCGATATTTGAATATTTACCCATACGAAAGTCAATGTGTGTTTTCGTGTCCAGATTGTGTAATATAAAATTGTATTTGTAAATGCAGTCTAAAATACATGAACCATACCATCAGCATCAGTCTTGTCGCAATTCCAGACTATATTATGCGCATTGAAATCACCTAAAAAAATCACCTTACCTGTACTGTTCAAGTGTTGAAATAGTGATTCCCACTGGTACAGTTGAAGATGCACCTCAGGTGGTTTGTAAATTGAGATAATTGAAAACGGTTGATCGCAGTTTGTGATTTGAATTCCAGAAAGTTCTAAGCTTCGGTGTGGCTTAGGTAATT